TATATACACACACACACAACTGTGGAAGAAGCCAAGCCACCATAAATAGTAGTTTTTCAGTGTTATATTTGTCAAAAATGTGGATGTACTAGAGCAGCATGTGCCACCAATCCAATATGCATCAGATACAGTAATCAACATCTACTTGAATAATGCCCTAATCAACATGAAAACACCTACTGTGCTAAATGCAGCAGCCCCCTCACAGCCTCATATTATGGCTGACCCATGTTCACGCAACTAGCCAACATCAGAATGCAATGATCCCCCTGGCATAGCATTACCAACAACACCAGCCCCACAAACTCCATGGTTTCCTGAACCTCCACGAATACCTCATGGCCTACCAGTCTCAGCCACCAACAGCAATCATGGATTTACACTGATGCAGTTAGACCACATCAACATAGGAGGGTATCTCAACCCTATTTCAATTAATCTCTTCAGAAGCACTGGAGATAAAACCGCTGATTATCCATTAACCCCAGTTCTTAAATTTATCAAAACCAAATGGGAAAGTTTTAAAACTACTGTTACCAAATTTCCACCAGACACATGCATGAGTACTCTAGACAATATAGATAAGTATGTCCTCACTATAACTAAAACAATCTCCACTGCCATCAGGGAAATAGTTCAAACACAAAATAAGCTTCGATACCTTCAATCGTGGTAACTAACTTCAGGAAATTCTTAGTCTAGTCACCAACCAATGTTGACCACAACACTTATTCCTCATAAATAGTAGACACAACTTAATCAAAAAACTTATCAACCAACAACAGGATTTAAACTGGAAAAAGTTTCCGCTCTTCAATAGATGAGGTATGGACCCAACCCTGCACTTTTCTGGCACAAATTCAAATCAATTTCTGACCCATATTCTCAATCTAACCATAAGATTGAGCACAAAAATGTGATTGCCACAACCCAGCAAGGAAAAAGTCAAACGTTTCGCAGCTTATCAAAAAACGTATATTCTAGCTACCTGCGATGAGCAACACTGATGATGATTTCCTCAAAGTTAACACTCAGATTAGAAATAATAACAAAGAATTTAATCTAGTATCACTTAACAATATCAACTCTCATCTGCCTTTGTTTGAGGATATCAGCACAAGACCCATAACTAAAACGGAAATCAAAATCAGTGCCAAACAGCTAAAAATACAGCTCTGGGTGATGATATTAACAACCTCGTTCTTGAGAATAATTCCAAATGTATTATTACAAATCAATAGGCACTGTTTAACCTTTCATTTCTATCAAGCTACTACCCCTCTCTAGGAAATCAACTATAATTCTCCAAGGAAAACTTGGAACTCAATAACTCTAACAATATATAATTTTGTATTTATGACAAAGCTACTAATACTATCTGCTACCATCCTTAATATTGAATTACTGACCAGCTGGGAAGCAGCCAATCAGCAGCATCCTACTATCCACACTAAGAGAATTACTGTCATATTTATAATGTAACAACGACTTAAAAGCAAGAGCAAAATTTAGTGGTATCGCATGGATTCAAGCCCAGCTCTACTACAGGGTCAACCCACAACCCCCAAGAAAGTGGGAGAGAAAAAAGTTGGTATAAGAATGTTTGTCATGTGTCCTAATGTTTTATTAAAAATGAAACTTGTAATATCAATAAATTATTTAATAAATTGAAGTACATAAAACATTACTATTATAAGGTATTTTAAATTAAATGTATAGTTTGAAAGTAATATAATTTGAAGATGACAGATATAAAGAATAGTAATGTCCAGAAAATACCTAGAAAGAGTTAACTCAAAGCCTAAGTTAACTAAAAAAAAAGAATTAAGAGTTTACATAGAGTTAAATGCATTAATGAAATTCAAACAACTAACATTAATGAATATATTAAAACAGACATTCAAGACAAGTAATGATTTTATAGCAGACAAACTATTTTTTAGGTATTGAAATATATTGATCGTACAATTTAAAATACAAATTTATTTAGTAGAAATGGTAAACAAATTTTAAGTAGAAATATTTTCTGTATTAATATTTTTGGAAAATTGAAATTTTTTGATGTAACATTTTACATAATTTTCTTGTAGCAAAATTATTTTTATCGTATTTCTTAACTCATGCTTTGATAGCTTATACAAATTCCCTAAATTCTGTAATATTACATACAATGCTATCCTGACCTGTTAACACTACCTATAATAGTGACAATGTAAGATAGTCCTGACCTGTTAACACTACCTAAAGTAGTGACAATGTAAGATAATCCTGACCTGTTAACAATACCTATAATAGTGACAATGTAAGATAGTCCTGACCTGTTAACACTACCTAAAGTAGTGACAATATTAACAGGTCAGGATTATCTTAACTACCTAAAGTAGTGACAATGTAAGATAATCCTGACCTGTTAACACTACCTAAAGTAATGACAATGTAAGATAATCCTGACCTGTTACAAATCAAGGTAAAATTAGTATTTTGAATAACCATTATGTAATTACAGAAGAAACAATAATTCAACAAGGTAAAGTACATAAATATCTATGTTTTTACTACAGTAATTTTCTCTGTAATATAATCTCATAACATATAAATAACAGGAGTTCACGTACACATAGTTTAAAATCAACAGAACTGTTTATTTGTAGAAGTTTTACATATTTATAGTACAATGAGGTTGTTCTTTGTCATTTATGATACATCATTTTACTAATATGTTTACTGTAAAGAGGGAATTAGCCTAAACTCATATCACTTAGTACTTTTTCATAATTGTACACTCACTGGTTAAGTTTCTATTTGTAAAATATAAAAATAAAAACTTATTTAAAAAATCTGACATATCACTAGGCCTGGATATAACATTAAACATAATTTTCAAAATCTAAACATTTAATAAAACTGAAGAAACTTTCTAGTTTCATTCTGTAAGTCTTCAAACAGTTAATTTGTTGTTGATGTGATAAATGGAAAGGACTTTTGCCCACTAAAACTTCCATCCAGTTGAGCCGTACATAGAATTTCATTATAGCTACTAAAACCTTTGTTTCCTGGAATACTGTTAAACCAGAACATCCTGTAAAAATAATGAGGTAGAAAAATTAATTAACAAAGGAAAAATAATAATATTTAAATACAACAGAGAATTAATTCAAGTTAATGACTTTTAACTAAGGTTTAAAGACTCACAATAATTTTAAAAACATTATAATAAAACATAGAAAATGAAATAAAACCACTAGTTTTAAATTAATGTTTTTGTTGGATTTCAAACTAGGTAAATTCTTTTAATATCTTATAATATCTCTAATATGAAAAAATTAAAGATTTACTTTATAGCTTTTTTATGAACTATAACTGCTGTTTAAGGAATTTCATATTAAGTCAAAATAAAAGAAATAAATATATATTTCTTGAAATTTTACATAAAGATAAAAAGATATTAAATAATGTGTCAGATATTGGAATCCTGATGATAATAAACTGTTTAATCAAACTATCATATGCAAATAGATTTTAGACCAAGCAAAACAACTCAGTCTTCTACAATTTCACAGTATAGAGACTTAGTCACTATATTGTTTGGTTGTTGTTAAGCAAAGAACTATACAATGGGCTATCTGTGCTGTGCCCATTATAGGGATTGGACCCAAATTTTAGTGCTAAAAACCATCAGGCTTACAGCTGAGCCACTGATTGGTACTAATTGTGAATTCTAAGTCCATTAGAAAAAAAATAAAATACATGTATATTTTGTTTAATGGTAAAAACAAATATTCAAAATAACATTTCCTTTACGTCTAATTATATTTCTGCAGTTTGGATAAATTTTTATTTTATATCACTGTTATATCATGTAAATATTGAAAGCACAAACAATTCTTTAATCATATATCAGTTTTTTAAGTTATTACCAACCATCAATAAGTTTTATTTTGCTTTCATTATTTCTGCAATTATCTGGTAACTCTAAAAAAACGAAAATCATTTAATATATACCAGCAGTCCTAAATTAAAAGAAAAGAAAGCACAAAAAACATTTTCTTTCAATTTAAATATAATAAACTAAATTGTTTTTAAAACAAATACTTTTAAAATAACTATCTAATTCTATTTATCCATTGATATTGAATAACTTGAATATTCTATATAACTACCTGATGTTAGTAAACTATTTTCATCCAAAGCTTCACAGATTTTACAACATTCATGAAGTTTTTGTGTAATCCAGTTCACATTTTCACTCAGTTTCCACAGAACATCATTCTTGGTTACAGCCTGAATAAAATTTTAGACTTTATTGATATGAACAAACAATATTTTTGGATGATTTACTTCATGACTAGTATATTCATATGTAAACACTAATTGATTTCTTTTAATTTTAATCTTTATGCCAGAGTTTTGTACAGAGATGAAATTTCTTATTATATTGTAATTGTCATGATTGATATTTTTCTTTTCTTATCTTTACCTTTCTCTTTTCAAATATCATTTCAGCAGTAAACTTGTATAACTAATGCTTGAAACTGCTGGTACTTGGTGAAACTCCATAATTACAGAATTGATGAAAACAAAGGTAACTGTACATTTCAAAAATATTTCATTTATCACTATTATGGTTTCACAAAATATTGGTGAAATGTACAATTGTCTTTGTTTTAAATTTAACCTTTATTGTAAGGGTGGCATCCCAGTAAGGAACTCTTTATTATGTGCTTTTTCAGATACCCATTCCTCGATAGCCAGTTCTTGCTTTATCTTTCCAATTAAGCTACTAATATGGGGGGACCCAATTTCTGAATGGGCTAACCATCAATATGATTTTTGACTGACTGATATTTTACTCAGTGTTACAAAAGTATTTGACTCTGGTTTGAGTACAACTATCAAAGTACAAATGCATATAAAAATTACTATCTCTATGGTTGTGTATTTTATTTCAGCCCCATACATATTTGATAGATCATGTAAAACCAAACATACAAAATGTAAATTAAAGGGTGTGTTAATAATAGCAAAGTCTGGGATTAATAACTAGAATGATGCCATACAGAAATTTTTGGCATCTCTTTTAGTTTTTAATATTTGTTAAAGAAACTAGACAAAGCCTTCTACATATTACCTTTATAAGCCTAATATTCTTTTTTCCTCTTAGCCTTAATTATTTCTTGTTCTAGGGAGTTTGCCACCTTCTATGTTATAGATTCTTGTTAAATTTGAATCAACATTTAGAGGAAATAGTTCATGTTACTGAAATTTTTAACTTGAATTTCATATCACATAAAATTCCTGACTTATTAAAAATTTATTTTTTCAAGTAGTATGTTCTTCTAGTTTATGACATGAACCATAAAGTGCTAACTTATAACGATCCTCTTTTTCACATATCGAAAACAATTAGTTTGTCCTTGTTTGGGGAGTTGTATGTCAACTGTAACTTACAACAAAATTAAATGTCCTTTTTTTTATTAATGTCACTGTGTTTCTACTCTTCTTATGTTGGTTTTTAATGGAATAATTAAAAAAATAAAACTATAATACTGATTGTGTTTTAATTTTATTGTAATAGTTATCAAAAAACATGTTTACATTATTAACATGATTAGTTATCTAAGCATGTGTAACAAATTCTTTTACTTGTGTTTAACTACAATGGATCAAGTCACTGTCTAAGTTTGACAACTACGAAGGACATCGTTTGTTCACCTGAATGGCAGCATATACACACAGGTAATGCTATCCCTAATTTTTGACACATAGATCAGAGAGAAGGCAAAATGTCTGCAGCTATTCCTACCTGATCAGAAGGATTGACTGTCAGTTTTATAAGGTACCCACAACTGCAATTGTAAAACGGTTTGTTTGATAGCAGTGCACCTTGAAACTTCAGACCTTAGGATGCACAGTCTGATACACTAACTACTTGTCCAAGCTCAGGCTTGAAGTGAAATGTGTTCCCAGCTGATAGTTATTACTGTGATGTACGAATGAATAAATTTATGGATTATTTTATGCTATATTTATGTTAATATAAGTCCATCTTTACACAGAATTTGATTTTATGATTGGACATGTGTAGCCTACTACGATGATAATGATAATAAAAGAGTATATGGGTGGAAATTACAGATGTAATATTTAAGATGAAATGGAAACGTTTACCTTTATTTGTTGAAAAAAGTAAGTGCGAGTGTACAGTGGCTCCGCAAAAATGTTGATTTCTTCTTGCTCGAATAACATACGTAGCCTACAGGAAGGTTAAAAAGGCATTAGAAAATTGTAATGGATTCTAAATGTATACAATATGTACAAATATACACACTATATAAATTTTCAAGTTTTGTCTTAGTTTTTTTTTTATCCTGAAAACATCACATGTACTAGATTAATAGTTACAAAAACAAAAATAACCAGTTCCCATAAACTGAAAAAAAATTTACATTTTAGCAAAGTTTTTTTTACAACAGACAAACTTTTTCTTTTATGAAACTTGGGTATCATGTGTTAGAAAAAAAAAACTACTAGATAATATTGATCTCTTATTAATTAGTATTTTTTTTTTAATGAAATGAAATAATGATGCTGGAAAATTGCTAAAATATTTGAATTAGTAATTTATTAACTAAATTAGTTTTATTTTTTTGTGTGTGGTGAGGGGGTGGATAAAACAGGTGAACATAGAAAAAATTAGAAATTTATTTATTGATTCAACTGACAATGGAAATTCATAATGTGTTAAAATTAAAAATTAATAGCTAATAAAGATAGAAAAAAAAGATAGATTTATTTTGGGAAGTAAATCATACAATCTATTCATTACATTACATTTTATTTTGGGGAAAATAAAACTAGTAATATAGATATTAACGTGATATTTATTTCTTAAGAATGTAACTTACACAGTTTATTCTGGGAAAAAATAAAATTTAAAAAATTCACAAGTTACTGACGATTTCAGCAAAACAAACAAGTTAGTAGCAACACATTTTTCTTAAATCTAATTTTTGCAGTGAAAACATTTAATTTTAAAGCATGAAAGAGAATTTAGGATTCTATTTATAATTTATGAATGAAATGTAAAGAAAGCTGTCTCAGCAAAACAATTTAGTTAAACAAACTAGATAAAAAAAAGTCCAAAAATCTTTTGTAATAATAAATGTTTGCAAAATATTCTTTACTAAATATAAATTCTATATTAGAATAGGTCAAATAAGAAACAAATTACAGTTAAACCTCGTTAATTAAAACACAGTCAAAATGAAGTACTTATGGATAATTGATTGATGAATGTATTGGTGCAAACAAATTAGGATGGGAATGGAACTTGTAAACAAAAAACTACTATTTCATTTTGAGTTTACATACTGATTGTAATTGTTATTCTATTACAAGTTACAGCTTTTACAGTTAGGAAGAATACTTTTAAAACAGGTACAACGTTTCAATCACCATTGTGATCGTTTTCAAAAATCTTATGTACTTGAGAATGATTGCATTAGCGATCGAAATGTCACACCCGTTATAAAAATATTCTTCCTTACTGTAAAGCTGTATCTTGTAATAAGTTAATAAAAAACTGTGCATACATTAAACGTAGCAGTTCATTTCCTTATAAATCATTGAATTATACAAATTTCATAATCAATGTGCTAAAATTTGTCATTATTTTCCATAAACATTGTTTTGTTTCAACTGATGACTTCATTATAGAATACAAATACACAGTACATGTATTGCTTTCTTGTATATATAAATATTGTGTTTTAATATTCTGATATTTCTTATGTGTCTTTGTTTTGGAGTACCGTGACATAAACCACTCTGATATCTGTTATAGTTTACATGTACATCACTATTATGTATATCTTTCTAAAAAAAAACTGCCATAAACCAGTACCCACTGCAAGTGAAGGTCATCATTCTCAGGAAAACTGTCATACAACCCAGTACCCACTGAGGGTGCAGGTGTTTTGTGGTCAATAATTATCACCTTGTTTCCTGTTCTGAACCCATACTTGACTTTCATGGAGTCATGTATGGATTACTGAATCATGAATCCATGGGAAGTGTTTGTTATAAGAAACAGCTGTTTGGATCTAGAACATGAATATATGGATTACTGAATCATGAATCCATGGGAAGTGTTTGTTACAAGAAACAGCTGTTTGGATCTATAGCATGAATATATGGATTACTGAATCATGAATCCATGGGAAGTGTTTGTTACAAGAAACAGCTGTTTGGATCTAGAATGTGAATATATGGATTACTGATTAAATTTCCTGAGGGAAAGATATGTATACATTTGGATTGTCAATGTCCGGACTATTAGATTGTCAATGTCTGGACTAGAAACTTTTCACTGTGTAACTTATGAAACATGATGTAAATACTAGAACTGATCAGGTAATGGTAGCCAACACAGACAAAACAGTTTTATCTAATCAATAGCAGTACAAGTTCAGATCACAATGGTTTTTTTTTAATCTAACAGTTATCACAAACAAAACGTATTTTATTTGAACACACAAAATTAAATATACAGATAACAAAACGTTCAAACCTATTACAACAATGATCTTGCAACACTTGATGAAGAGCTGGCTCACTGTGAGTCTGTTTCCACAAAAAATCCAGATAATTTGGGGATTGTCCTATATTCTTGTTCATCCACTCTAAAATGTACTACAGTGAAAAGAGAAACAAAAAATAAATAAATAAAGAAAACTTAAATCCCCAGCACTGAAAGATTTTTTATAGCTATAATAACATAAATGTGAAACACTTAATGCTTAAAAATTCCAATTTATAGCTGAAATGAATAATGTGGAACTCGCTAGTTAAACAAAAAATAATCAAAATGATACTCATTTTACTCTCTTGCAATACTATTAAATAGTACAAGATACCTAAATATCCCTTTTAAGTACACAAAAACACTTGGATAACTGATTGCAGAAAAAAAAAAGTGAACTGAATTATGTTAGTAAGAGAGGTGCATATTAAATGATGAAACTGGTTCACACAACCTTAAAATGACTGTAACTAGTCCTCTAACATAGTAGTACCTTTAATCTCTGACATTCTCTTACCTTAACTCCAATACTGCTGTGAATCTTCAGTTGCTATAATACAGAAAAAAAATAAAACTTGTGATAATCTTCAGATAAATGTAACTGGCTCTTTCTACACTATTATACCCAAGGTGACGGGGCAGTTCTTGACCATCATTTATAAAACAACATTACCTTGATAACTTCAGTGCAGATCTAGAACTTTTGGGTGGTCAATCAAGTGTCAAACTAGCCAAGAATAACAATAACACAGTTACACACTTGCATAGCTAACTTTCTATTCATTCAATTCACGGTGAAGATATAGGGGTCTGCATGGAGTGACAAAGGGGAGTAAGTCTGTTTACAAAGCTGCTTGAGGGTTATCTGCACTAACCATCCCTAATTTTCAAGAGATAGACTAGAGGGAAGACAGCTAGTCAATACCACCCACTGCCAAATCTTGGGCTACTCTTTACCAACAAATAGAGGGATGTACTGTCACATTATAACAACCCCACAGCTGAAAGGGTGAGCATGTTCAGTGATGGAATTCAATCCCATGACCAGCATGTTGTGAGTCAAGTGCCCTAGCCACCAGGTCATCCCAGAGGTCAGATCCAGACACTTCCCTCCCCATGTCCCTTCCTAGGGGGGGGGGGGGGGGGGGCTTAATGGTATATGCCAGATTTGGTGACAATCACTTCAATGGTGTGCCAGTTACAAGTGGACACACACACACACAAACGTCTGTCAAGTACTGATTATACTATACAATATACTACAAAAATATTATGACAAGTATTATTTCAAGTTTCATTGATTAGATAACTTTGATCTGTTAAAATAAATAGTTACAATATTAACAATGTGCCTTTAATCTATGCAAATGAGAAGCTGAGATATTTCCAATATTTCTAAAAATAGGAAATATTATCAGGAGTAATTTTTAAATATAACCACAGTACTTAATTTCTTGTTCCGTGATAGCTGCTAACAATAGGTGGTGACGTATCTTAAAATATACATCAGTGAAATATCTCTAACAAATTTTTCTCATGCATTCAACAGTTTAAGAGCTTGTTTTAGTGTCATCTAGAATGTAATACTAGAAGAACAATTAATAATTAACAATATTCTGCCCATTTTATATTTTTTTAAATAATCATAAGGCCTACTCTTCAACTGTATGTTATTACCTGATCATGAGATGTGTCACACAAACGTGAAGCAAAGAGGGCTGCTTCCCTACGCACATCAGTATCTTCTTCTTGTAATAGCATCAGTATTCCCTCACATAAACTGATAAAATATATTAGATATTTGTCTTAACTGAATAAAAACAAATGTTGTTAAAATTATAGCTGTTGAATTCAGAATCAACTGGTTAGTTAACTACAAGATTATTTTGTTTTATAATCTTATTTCTAAATTAATACAAATTCTTAATATAGAAGAAAATGATTGATTTGTTTCATTTGATGTAGTATATTTGTTTAGTTGGCTTGGATATTACTTCAAAATAAAAAAACAACCACTTCTATCTCAAATTGAACTTGAGACTTATAACATAGGAAAAGGTTAGAAGAAAATGATTGATTTGTTTCATTTAATGTAGTATCTTTGTTCACAAATGTACCAACAGAAGAAGTATCAAATTATTTTGAAAATAGGTTATTAGCCAATAAATGTTTTTCACATCTACAAGTATAAAAAGTTTAACAAAGCTCTGTCTAACTAATAGTTATTTTAAGATGGGTAATGGAATTTACAAACAGTAAACAAACAGTTAGTAGACATTTTCATGTTTGATGTTGAAACTCGGGTGCTAGATACCTCAGTGAAAAAACCAGAGGTACGAAAGCATGGCAATGACACGTTAATTGATTTACAGAAACATCTTGATTAGGTCAACCCAACAATAAAATGAGAAGTTGAAGAAGTGGGTTGTTTGAATTTTTTAGACGTTTCTGTAAAAAGAGAGGGTGGCTTTCTTTCTATTTTGGTATACAGGAAGCCGTTCTCATTTGCCATGAAGCCACACGCAAGATCGTGTCATCCATTATCACAAAACATGTACTCATTTTAGTCTTTTCTCATAGGATTATTAATGTTTCTTTATGTAATGAGATTTGATGTTAGAATTGAATTATTTAAAATATACAGAAATTGGTAGAGGTTATTAACCTTATATTAAACACAGGATGTATTAAAAAACATTGTAATAAATTACAAATTTCTGAATGTACCAGACAATAAGGAAAGAAAATGTTTACTGTATGTTCCCTCACTGATGACAAAAACAGGTAATACGTTCATAAAAAATAAATGTTATCAAATAACCTTTACTCCTCAATTAAAAATAATTAATATCATTAATGGTGGTAAAGATGAAACTGAAGTAAAGGATAGATGTGGAATTTATAAAATTTATTGTTGGTGTGATTTGGGTTACACTGGACAGACAAGTAGAAATCTGAAGTTTGAAATTAACGAACATAAAAACGCCACTGATAAATTAAAAACTACTGATTCAGCCTTGGCAGAACATGTGTCAAACTCTTCACATTTTATTGATTGGGAAATGAATTAAATATACGAGAATTAGAAATTGCTAAAAACAAAATGTTTTTGAATAAAGATTTAGGTCCTGCTGCCAAGGAAGTAACTTTCTGAAAATAAATTTTGTAGATGGCACCACTGTACAATATGTAAATTGTACAAATGTGTTTACATGGGTATATAAATTAAATTTTCTGTGTCATATTGGAGCATGTTCCATCAAAACAAGTAGAGGTTTTTAACTTTTCTATTGTTTTTAACTTTATACAATAACTTATTGTGCATTTTAAAATGTTGGGGTCACCAACTGATCTTATTAAATCCTTGCACAAGAACTGTCAATTGAATATACTAAGGCATGAAAGTTATTTAAAGTTGAAGTTATCAAATTGAATTTTAGAACAATCCATCTCCCAATGATTTTACATTTGACAAGTGTTTCCAATGAAATCAATGTTACTTCATGACAGAAAAAGTAAGGTAGTGGTCTAAAAAACTAAATATACAGTAGGGAAACCCCTATACTCTACTGATACGGAAGCAGATCTATATTCAAACCAACAAGTTTGGAATCACTTAATTATCATATGGAAACAGATCTATATTCAAACCAACAAGTTTGGAATCACTTAATTATCATATGGAAACAGATCTATATTCAAACCAACAAGTTTGGAATCAACTTAATTATCATATAGGAAACAGATCTATATTACAAACCAACAAGTTTAGGAAT